ATGTGATGAATGTCGAGCACTTTTTAAATTATCCTAGTGAAAATAATACGATGATAAAATAATCTACTGAAAAAAATATTCATGGAGTACAAAATACGCCTATCGAAAATCATCATGATTTAGATGTTATGTTTCACCAACTATTTGTTCAAAATAAGAATTTCAAGCATTGCATCCCTAAATAATTACTTTGTAGAACATGAAGAAAAAAAAACAAAAACAAAAAACCCAAATGTTGTATATGCATTTCAAAAAATTAGGACTGAATTGAGTTTCGATTTGGGTACACGAAAAGGCAAGCAACTTTAAATACATTTTCCAAAGAAAAAAAAATGAATTGAAAAAATAGTAACTTTGAAAAAGGTTCTTGACGTGTATTAACCAACCATTAATTTATATTTTAGTTGACCCTAAAAGATTTTCTTGATAGACATTAAAATTAAGCTGAAGTTAACAATTAATTTTAATCACATTATGGAATCCACAACTTTTTAAACCACACATTTCTACTATTTTTTATTAAAATCTACTAAATATCTTATTTTGAGTAAAATTATTATGCTTAATGTATCGTTCCGATTTGGGACATAAAAATTTCATTATTTTAAACAAGTTTATTAATTTATCGAGATTTTATAAAAATACAATCATCTCAAGATTTGTTTTCTTTGCACGTCTGTTACTGTTATATTTGGATTTGGTCTCTTAAACTCATAAAATTTACGAGGAATTTATAAAATGGTACCGTTGGGTGTTAAAAAACACAGTCGCACCTTTTTTCTAGCAGCGGGTGGATGGGTGTCCTTCCATCCATAATTGTTATGTTCATGCAGCCAATATCGCAGCCACAAAGCCCGAACCAACAAGGCAGAAGAAGAAACATCATCGTCCCAAAAATCTTCTGGCCAAAAAACTGCATTTTTTTCAGAACCTCCAAATTCTTGTATATTTTCTCATTCCCTTTTGACTTTTGAATAAAACCATGTAGGCTGCATGTTAGGCATTTTCCTTTTTTTACCGATTCTAGAAAATTTCGAGGAAAATGGGAAAGAAATCGCGGTGCAAAGGATGTTGTGGATGGTGTTTGTTGTTTATTGTGTTAGCAACTGTTGAATATTGGGCTCCAATCACACCAAATAACCGAGCACAGTTAACTTCCAATCGACACCACAATCACAAACCAAGTCCTAAACTAAAACCCCCAAATCCGGTTACTCCAAGGTGCCCACAAAGGACTGAATATGAATGTTATTGGTAGCCCAAAAACCAGTCAAAAAGGCTAAGAGAAGGAGAGAAGAAGACGACACAAAACCAAGGTAAGCACAAAGCCGAAGGAACACTATTTTCTCTTTTCTACACACGGCTGCCCACATCATTCACACTAAACCAACACAAATAGTAATGGGTAGCTTATATAAGCCACATGGGTGGGCTTTAGGTTAAGGTAAGTAAGGCCCAAGTAGGTAACAATAAATGAGCTGTCAACCCTAAAGTCGTCCAAGGGTAATGGGTCGAGCCATGAGTAGCACTAACACAATTATGTTACTTCAAATGGCCCAAAGAAGTTGTAGGAATAGTTTGTTCGATTGTGGTGTCGACATTTCACTTTACTCATCGGCCGAGGCCTATAAAGTATAATCCAATAAATCAGTTTAACATCATCGCCCGGATTTATTGGGTATCAAAACCCAACAAATCTCCACCTTGATTTCCAATAAATTTGCAAGCAACCAAAACACACAATTTATACTTGCACAATCAAGGTAACCAATAAAATTGGTATTACAGACTTTACCTCGTGTTTCGAACCCGAAACACATACCATACCTACTCCATATACTCACCAAGACTAAGATCAAGAACACCCAAGTAGAAGTAGATAATTGCAGCAATCAATCAAGAGCAAATAAACATGCGACTGAGATATCATATATATGATAACACATAGATCTTTTGAAAACATGTTCACATAGAACCACATATTGACATCAAGTTAATCAACAGACCAATACATATGCAACAAATGCATAGTTGACCCCACGAAAAGATCTCACCACACTTATCCTATCATATTCCGTGTTACTCACACCTTGAGAACACATATCTCACCTCATCACCCACCATGCTCACTAGACTAATAACTCAAAACACATGTCTACCTGGTAAGACTCTATTGATCCTAAGTTCTCGAGATAATCCTCCATTACCACATCACTTCTCCCAATCTACGTAGATAATGGGTCTCCATTTAACAGAAGTGAGAGAAGTACATCTCTCACACTCCACCTGATCAAGGTCTTTTCACAAATAAATGATTCTAACATTTAATCACCTCTCCATTCGTAATCCAAATGCCACACTCTACATCACTGGTACAAACCACCAATACATACATAGGCATCTATACTCCACTTTATCAAAAGACATACCACACACTGCTAATGCATCCCAAACCCACGATGCATGCAAACAATTACACCAAATAATAAGATCACTCCAATTCATGTCAATGCACATATCAAACACATTGAAATGCAACGTATAATCATGCAACGGAATTGAACAATCACACACATGAAGAAAGGATTACACACGGATACAAATGCAGTAAATAGGGTAACACTCAATAAGCCTCACTACGGTCATCACTCGACCTTAATGCCAAATTCGTCTCGCCTCTCAACTTACCATTCAGCTTATCCTTGTTCTTTTTAGGACAGTCCTTAATAAAGTGTCCAATCTTACCACAACTGTAACACCGTCTATCACTAGATTTGTCACATCTCTTGCCCTTCTTCTTACCATCCTCATCACTCGAGTCACTACTGTTTTGAGCTCCACCCAAACTCATCTGCTTAAACTCCATTCTACTCTTCATCATATGCAACTCACAATTTCTTTTATCTTCTTTTTCAACTTTAATCTCCATCTCCTTATTTCTAAGGAATATATGACAATCTCGGGTGTTAAAGTGTCCATATCATACTTAATTGCATTATTAACCTCTCTATATGAAACATGCATATAATTCAGCAAAATGATGGTTTTATAAGTTTCAGACACATTCTCATCACAGTTGACGATGTCTTGAACCACTTGTGAAAAACATCCAAATTGTCATCAAGATCCTTTAAAGGATCCATTTTAAAGCTAAAAAACTTTCGAGCAAGTACATCTTAGTCAGAGTAGACTTAAGCAAATATAAATCTTCCAACTTTTGCCAAAGTTTTTAGTAGAATTAAGTTTTCCAACTTTTTCTCAAAACAGTGTTGGATAGGTATAAAATAATCGAGGTGTAGGCAAGTTCGTCATATTCTTCTTTTTGAGCTTCTGTTAAATCTGCAGGAAATTTGCCATCTATGGCCTTTGAAATTTGTTGTTGAACCAAAATCCTCATCATCTTTTGTTGTCAAATTGAAAAGTCTCATTTCCCATTGAAAACCAGAAATGCACAAATAGGTCACACAGAGTAATCCTAATGCAACAATATACACCCTTCACAGTAACCACAATCCTAATGTCACCTCACACGGTAACGCGTTAATGTTGAAATTTAAATGGGATAAGCCAATTTACTAGAGCAGACTTATCTGGATCCGTAAATTACGAGAAATACGAATCTATCACTTTAGGGCCTCCATGATTCGCCCTAAAGTCTTTAGCAACTGGTAACCAACCGAGCGAAAAATTGAATTACGAACGCAGGGCAAAATCGTCCATATTTCACTGTATACCCTGAAACACAAAACTAACAACACAAAATCATTAGAAATATCAAAATAAATATTCTGCTTGAAGGAAGTTTCACTAGAAATGTCGCCACGCGGTGTCACACTCCTCTGCGCGTGGGCTTTATGCACCGTCATCATCCTTACGGTCTGCCACCCAGCACTTCGTCCACCTGCAGATCCTCCATTTGGTATTGGATTTTTCAAATGGCCACTGGTTGGCTTGAAAATGAGGTTGCAGGTCCCGTTTTGCCACAAAATTTGGACAGTTTTCTTTCTGCTGGTTCTGCTCGATTTCTGATCAGACTTTGGAGCCCAATCCACTACCAACTTGCTATGATACCATATGTTGAATATTGGGCTCCAATCAAACCAGATAACCGAGCTCGATTAACTTTGAATCGACACCACAATCACAAACTAAGTCCTAAACTAAAATCCCCAAACTCGGTTGCTCCAAGGTGCCCACAAAGGGCTGAATATGAATGTTATTGGTAGCCCAACAACCTGCCACAAAGGCTAAGAGAAGGAGACGACATAAAGCCAAAGGACAATCTTTTCTCTTCTCTACATACGGCTGCCCACAACATTCACACTAAACCAACACAAATAGTAACGGGTAGCTTATATAAGCCAAATGGGTGGGCTTTAGGTTACTGTAAGTAAGGCCCAAGCAGTTAACAATAAATGAGTTGTCAACCCTAAAGCCGTCTAAGGGTAATGGGTCAGGTCATGAGTAACACTAACACAACTAGGTTACTTCAAATGGCCCGAAGAAGTTGTATGAATAATTTGTTCGATTATGGTGTCGCCATTTCACTTCGCTCATCGACCGAGGCCTATGAAGTATAATCCAATAAACCAGTGTAACATCATCGTCCGAATTTATTGGGTATTAAAACCCAATAGCAACAATCGCATTTGGAGTTTTCATTACTCTAAAATTGAAAAATCAGAAGTCTTATTCAGATAACTTCCCCGTGTCCGGTTCTGTTGGGAAGAAATATGTAGACGCTTTTAAAATTGTAATGCAATTTTTTGACATACAAAAATGTATAATCTCTCCTTCTCTTATGATGTTTATTCATTTCTTATGTTCTTATGCACGTGATGTCAATTCTTTGTGTTTAGTTAATATGATGTAGAATCATTCATGTTGCAGCTGGAAAATTTGTGGACAATGAAATATCTTGGAGAGGGGATTCCGCATTGAAAGACGGAAGTTGAGCAAAATTGGATCTTTCTAAAGGGATGTATGATGCATGAGATCATATGAAGTTTGGATTTCTGTTGGCTTTCACTGCAACTATGCGGTTGTGGAGCATCCTCGAGTATGGTGATCAAATGAAGGCAATGAGTCAATTGGAATCGGTTCAGGACTCATTTAAATGGATCACTGTTTATCTGATAAATGCTCATCATTCAGCAAATGTTATTTACATTCAGGTCGGTCCAATCTTGTTGCATTCTTTTGGATGTTATTACATTACAGTCTAAAAATACCTTTCTTGGAAAATCTTTGTGTTTCATGTTCTTGGAGAAGTTCGGGAAAGTATTCTTTTCATTTTTGTCCTGATCCCAGGTTTATCATAATTAATCTATATGCATGTTTCTGTACTTGAAAAATCAGCTTGGAAATATATCATCAAGGGCCTTAATGTGCTTTGCACCAGTTTGCCTGGAAATCTTAATCTTTATAATCTCACCATTTCAAATTTTGACAGGTAGGAAGTCCTAAAGCAGACCATAGTTGTTGGGACAGACCTGAGGACATGACTGGGCCAAGGCCTCTCACACAGGTGAACACTTCTACCCCAGGAACCGAGGTTGCTATTGAAACCGCAGTAGCTATGGCATCGGCATCCTTGTGTTTAAGTCTATTAACTCTGCATATTCAAATTTGCTTCTGAGGCATGCCACTAAGTTGATTACTTTTGCTGACAAGCATAGAAAATCTAATAGCATCTATAATCCTGAAGTGAATCTGCATATTCACATTTGCTTCTGAGGCATGCCACTTAGTTGTTTACTTTTGCTGACAAGCATAGAAAATCTTATAGCATCAATATTCCTGAAGTGAAAACATATTACAATTCAACGGGCTAAGGAGACGAGCTCTTGTGGGTAGCTAGTTGGCTGTACCCTGCAACTTGAGAGAAATCATACTTCGTGTATTTGACTGGGGAAAATGGTGAAGAGTTCGCTAATTGGGGAAGTCCAACATGACTTAGCTGGGATAACAAATTGTTGGAACTCTTTGAGAATAAGTGGTCTAAAGAGTGAGCCCCAAAGGATTCTTCTCTGATTAGAATGGCCACTATTCTTTCCTTCATTTACATATCGAAATTTTGTAGTCAAAAAACGGTTAAGATAGTTGATTATCATTGGCATTAGAACAACACAACCTTAATGTTAAAGATTTTCCTAGAACCATATAAAGTATACAAGCAATTGAGGGAATAACTAAGTATTTTTCTATAGGTCTTGCTGTCTAGAGTTAACTTTTTTAGGCCAAAAGACGTATCAAACTCCAAAATCCTCCAGAAGTATAGAAAATCAGCAGAGGCTATCATGTGTGGCCTTCTACCGGAATCTTCAACAGCCACATCTAGCAGAACTAATAGTGAGCCTTTTCCTAAAACTTTTTACTTAGATCCTTGTTCTGGCCTATTTATTGTCTTCAATTAGTCCCAAATAGAATTTCACTGTCTATGTTTGTAAGTTTTGATCTTGAAAGGAATTGGCACAATGATGCAAACAACCCTTAGCGGGATTGATTGACTAGTTGACAATAGTGCAAAAACGTGTTTATGAAAAATGGAGAAAGCCGTGTTTTACTTACCTATTTAAATGGACGCCCAAGATGTCGCCAAGTGTAATCTCCACGACCATTGGATGAAGGACCTTTGGGTGACTCTTATAAATGGCTTCCTAGGGTTTCAACAGTGATTTTGCTTCCGATATTTTCTCTCTCACTGGTTGCACCATTCGTGTTCTTAGCTCTCCTTCTCTCTGAAAATCAAAACTCTCTTTTGATTTTCTTTTACTCTCATTATATTGTAATTTTGAGTGATTTCTATTGTGATGAGTGTTGTGTTCTTGTGTGAACGATTACTTGAGTGAAGGCTGAGTTCTTTCGTGATATACAGATTTAGTCTGAGTGTCCAAAACCTTGTACTATTTACCTTGGTTGTATTTTCATTCTAACGGTGGCTATTTCCTCAGTGGCTGAAGCACTGGTGTTTGGGTTATTGACTTAGGGCAACTATTAATGAATATCTCTTTCTTTATAGTTTATTTTGTTCGTTTATTGTTCTATATTTTTGTTGTTCTTAAGCTAATATTGTTGAATCTCCTCCTAACAGTGGTATCAGAGCGTTGAACGGAGGTTCTTGACTCTGTTTCTGGTGGATCTGAAAGCTGTAACACTTTCTTGAGCTGCACTTCGTTATTTCTTGAAACCCTAATAAGGGAATCTGGTGAGATCGTTCTAGTTTTACATCTTAAAGTACAAATTAAGTGTTAATACTCTTTAAGTTCACTGCACTTGTGTTTTAAAACCCGATCTTTGACTATCTTGGTAATTCATTTGTCCAGAAATCCTGCGAGTTGTCTGGAATATGAGGGTTATCTTGATTTCAATCAAGAATCTTGATAAAATACTCTGCTATGAATTTTCTTTATTAGTATTATACATGCTTATTGTGATTTGTACATTACCTTGTAATTGAATATAATTCTATGATCATATTACTGTGTTCAATCTCATATTCTGTGAAATAACTGAAGTTCTTGTTCTGTGTTCAATCTCATATTACTATGTTCAATCTCATAATCTGTTAATTTACAATCTCTGTATACTCTAAGTGTCCCTTTTGTGGAGATACCTGATTTGTTCTGAATTGCAAGTAATTGTTAAGTGTTTGCATAGTGTTTCTCTGATCTGCATACACTTCACTTCATTCAAATTTTCTTTAAATGACTAGGTAAAAATTTGAATTTGAAGTTTTTAATGGCAAGAGATACTTTAGTCTCTGGCGCCAAAAAATGAAAGTTCTTTTATTTCAATAAAAATGTGCTAAGGCTATTGATGAGTCATGGCCTACTAATCTTGAATCAAGCAAAGTAACTGAACAAGATGAAACTGGATGGAGCACTATTTTTCTACATTTGTCTGATAATGTACTTAGAGAACTTGGTGAGACTAAGACTACTGCTAAATTGTAGAAAAAATTGAAAGCTACTTATTTGAACAAAACCATGCCTAATAAGGTTCATCTTTTGAAACAGTTCTTTGGCTTTAAACTGGACCCTTTCTCTTGTTCTTGAAACTAATATTGATAGATTTAACATACTATCCCATGACCTAGCCAATTGTAATGAGAAACTCTCAAGTGGATAGCTGGCTGTGGTTTTGTTAAATTCAATTGGTAATAAATATAAAGATGTTAAAAATGCAATTAAATATGAAACTCTCAAGTGGATAGCTGGCTGTGGTTTTGTTAAATTCAATTGGTAATAAATATAAAGATGTTAAAAATGCAATTGAATATGATAGGGAAACTCTAACTACTAATGTGATCATTAATACTTTAAGGACTAAAGAGTTAGAGTTAAAATTTGAAAAGAAGGAGTATGTTAGTGGTATAAATCTTATGATGAAGTCCAAGTTTAATTCCAAGAATGGTAATTCTAATAAGAAACCTGGACACAAAAAGAAGGGCAACTTTAAAGATAAAATGAAAATGGAGACAAAAGGAAAAAAGTGTTTTTATTGTCTTGAAGAAGATAATTTTATTAAAGATTGTCCTAAGAGACTTTATGACTTAAAACACAAGTCTAAAGATGATGATGGTGCGGCCTTAGCTTATAATGAAACTAATATTAATGAAGTCTATGTTGCTGTAAGCTATCCACCTTGTCAATAATGGATTTTTGACTCCGGCTGCACCTACCATATGTGTCCTAATAAAGAATGGTTTACAGAGTTTGAAAATGTGATTGGTGGTAAGGTTTTAATGGGTTTTTATATGACATGTCAGGTAAAAGGAGTATGAACTATCACATTGAATGTAAAGGGAAATAATAAGTTGATTTTTAAAAAAACTAGATATGTTCTTGATTTGCAAAGAAATTTGATTTCCCTGGAGGTTTTAGATGACCTTAACTATGACATTTTGAGTAACATGGGATACATTAAAATCTTGAGGGACTCTCATTTGACTATAGAAGTTCCCAAGAGACATGGCCTATACATTTTACAAACCAAAAATTTCCTTGATTCCACATCAGCAGTAATATCAGTTCAAAATGACAAGTCACAAATATGGCATAAAAGTTTAGGCCATATTAGAAACAAAGGTCTGCAGATTTTGAAAAAAATAGGGTGCCTTTGGTAAAGATAACATTGAAAAACTTAGCTTTTGTGACTACTGCATTTTAGGAAAGTATAATAGATTTCCATTTTTGCCTGGAATGCATAAATTTATGTTTATACTTGAATATTTGCATGTTGATCTTTGGGGGCCAGCTTCTGTGCCCACACGATCTGGCTTTAAATATTATCTGCTGGTAATGGTTGATTTTTCTAGAAAAAACTAGACTTTTCTTTTAAAATCTAAATCAGACACATTTAATGTNAAATCTGACACATTTAATGTTTTCAAAGAATGGAAAGTTTTGATAGAAAACCAAACTGACAAGAAGATTAAGGTCTTAAGAACATATAATGATTTGGAATTCTGCAATTTTGAGTTTGATGAGTTGTGCAAATTATCTAGTATGTTAAGACACAGAACTGTGACACACGCTCTACAATAAAATAGTTTAGCTGAGAGGATGAATAGAACTATTCTTGACAAAGTAAGATTTATGCTATTAAGTTCTGGCCGCCTAAATTTTTTTGGGATGAAGCTGTTAAAACTTCAAGTTATCTAATTAATAGATGTCCTTCTAGTGCTATAAACTTTAAAACCCCTGAAGAAATGTGGAGAGGGAAACCTGTTGACTTCAGTAACTTGAGGGTTTTTGCTGCACATCAAACTGAAGGCAAATTAGAACATAGGGCCCTCAAGTGTGTTTTCTTGGGCTATAGTAAATGGGTTAAAGGTTATAAACTGTGGGTTAGAGAAATCAAAGGCTATAAGATCATAATTAGTAGAAATGTGGTGTTTAATGAAAATGATCTACCCTGTCTTAAATCTGAAAATCAAACCGAGTCTTCTGATCAGACTGAAAATGTGAGAAAAATGGTTGAAATTGAGGTGGAGCATTCTGATGATGATATTCATCAGACTACTACTCAACCTGATGAAAGAAATGAGGAAACACTAGTTGATAGTGTTCCTGTTGAGGTATTTGAAGTTGATTTAGAATCAATTCAGCATCTTGATAATTACCAGCATGCTAGAGATAGGGAAATAAGAAATTTTAGACCTCCTGCTAGGTTTGAGGAGGATGTTTCATTACTGTCCTATCGTAGTATGATTGAAGAGGAACCCGAGTCTTTTGAAGATGCTTTGAATAGTAAAGACTCTAAACATTGGCTTGCAGCCATGCAAGATGAAATGCAATCCCTTAACAAAAATCAAACCTGGATTTTGGTAAAAAGACCTAAAGGTAAGAGGGTTGTGGACTGTAAATAGATTTTCAAAATTAAAAGAGGTGAACAAAGTGAGAATGACATTAGATATAAAGTTAGATTAGTAGCAAAGGGTTTTACCCAAAAAAAAAGGAGTTGGTTTCAATGAAATTGTTTCACTTGTTGTGAAATTCACAACAGTTAGAGTCGTGCTTGCTTTGGCTACTCAATTTAATTGAGAATTAGACCAACTAAATGTAAAAACAGTTTTTCTAAATGGGGATTTAGATGAAACCATTTACATGAAACAAATTTTTCACCTGTAGTAAAATTTACTACAGTTAGAGTCATTCTTGCCTTGGCCACTCAAGTTAATTGGGAATTAGACCAATTAGATGTAAAAATAGCTTTTCTAAATGGGGATTTAGATGAAACCATTTACATGAAACAACCTAAATCAGAAAGCTAACTTAGTTTGCCTTCTTAAAAAGTCCCTATATGACTTAAAACAAGTTCCAAGACAATGGAATAAAATTATTGACAATTTTGTACTTGGACTTGGGTTTAAGAGAATTAACTTTGATACATGTCTTTATTGTAGAGGAAATGGTGGAGCTAATTCACTTTAACTACTCATTTATGTGGATGATATGCTGTTAGCAAGTCATGATATAAAAGAGATAGAAGAAATAAAAAACAAACTAAAATATGAATTTGAAATGAAAGACTTCCTGTTAGAAAGATTTTAGGTATTGAAGTTAAGAGAAATAGGAGAGAATGCACACTAAATCTTAGCCATAAATCTTACATTCTAAAATTGTTTAATAAGTTTTCCATGACTAATTCCAGAAGTGTGAGTGTACCCTTAGCTAATCATTTTAAACTTTCAAATGAACAATGTTCCAAATCAAAAGAAGAATTTGAAAGAATGGCAAAAGAGCCTTATTCTAATGCAGTTGGGTCTTTCATGTATCTTATGGTATGTTCAAGACCAGATTTGGCATATTCTATAAGTGTTTTAAGTATATATATGTCAAATCCTTGTGATCCACATTGGGAAGCTATGAAATGACTTCTTAGATACATTAAGGGTACTTCAGACTTGGGGATTTAGTTTAGAAAACAAACTGAATGTGTTGTTTTTAAAGGATTTACTGATTCTGACTACGCAGGTAATATTGATAACAAGAAGTCAACCTCAGCTTATATGTATACTTTGTATAATTCCTGTATAAGCTGAAAATCTCAGCTTTAAAAGATTGTTACATTATCTTCAAGTGAGACTGAATACATTGCTGCCACATATGTAATTAAAGAAGGAATTTCGTTAAAAAGGTTATTAAATGAATTGGTTTTGATAAAAAAGTTGTTCTTTATTCTGACAGTCAATCTGCAATTCATTTAAGTAGAGACCCTATATTGCATAATCGATCTTAACATTTTGATGTTAGATTTCATTTTATAAGGGATTTTATTTCACAAGAAGTTGTGAAATTTGAAAAGATATCTACTATTATAACCCTGCTGATGTAGGTACCAAAGTATTGCCTTTAAACAAGTTCCTGAATTGCTTAACTCTGCTGAACATTACTGTTTGTTGATCTGTGGATATAGTAAGGTTTTGTTGATGACGTCTAGAAATGGGGAATAACCACTGATGAATGTAAATCATTATACCAAGGTGGAGTATGAAGGGAATTGGCACAATGATGCAAACAACCCTTAGCTGGATTGATTGACGAGTTGACTGATCCTTGTGTTTTAAATGGTGCAAAAACGTGTTTTACTTTCCTATTTAAATGGACGCCCGAGATGTCGTCAAGTGTAATCTCCACAACCATTGGATGAAGGACCTTTGGGTGACTCTTATAAATGGCTTCCTAGGGTTTCAACAGTGATTTTGCTTCTGATATTTTCTCTCTCACTAGTTGCGCCATTCGTGTTCTTAGCTCTCCTTCTCTCTGAAAATCAAAAAACTCTCTTTTGATTTTCTTTTACTCTCATTATATTGTAATCTTGAGTGATTTCTACTGTGATAAGTGTTGTGTTCTTGTGTGAACGATTGTTTGGGTGAAGGCTGAGTTCTTTTGTGATATATGGGTTTAGTCTGAGTGTCCAAAACCTTGTAATATTTACCTTTGTTATATTTTCATTCTAACGGTGGCTATTTCCTCAGTGGCCGAGGCACTGGTGTTTGGGTTATTGTCTTAGGGCAACTATTAATAAATCTCTCTTTCTTTACAGTTTATTTTGTTCGTTTATTGTTCTATATTTTGTTGTTCTTGAGCTAATATTGTTGAATCTCCTCCTAACAGATCTCATACAATCGACAAGTAGATATGTAGATCACTTCACGAAGGTTTCAGTAGAAGTTTTACTCACATTCAGTTTGTTGATGCAGATGGTTTAATATGGGTAAGTGAATGGAATGCTTTGCAGCTGCCCGTGGCGTCTTCATTTTTAGCTGTCCTTTACAGTGAATACATGCTCACATCTCGGACTACAAAGCTATCCTGTGATGGAGATGCCTTTATGCCCTTAGATCTCTGGAAGTTTACCATATCACAAGTACACTTTCCGTCTTCATCACACAAACATTATGTCACTTGGTTGTTTGGATATTATTGAACTATCTTATCTAAAAGTTTATGTCAGAGAGAAGATACAATCGTTTATATAAATTGCATATTCAACACATCCCCTCACGTGCATCTTAGATTCATATTTCTTCAAAAGCTTGACACATGGACATTTTTTATAAGCAGGTGGTAAGGATGCCTACTATTATACCATGTTGAAGCACCTCAACTAAAACCTTTAGCTATTAAAGAGGAAACACGTTTATTCATATAAATTGCATGTTACAACAATGTAAACGAAACTCTCATCAATGTCTTCTCTCACGAATCCCGATACAATCACCGTCTTTTTTTAGGCTGATTACATCTTGGGCAACAACCCTATGGATATGAGTTATCTCGTGGGCTATGGGGATAAGTATCCAGAATTTGTGCATCATAGAGGGGCCCCAATTCCAGCTGATGCAACAACTGGTTGCAAAGGGCTCGAATCAGATGAACCAAATCCAAACGTTGCAACAGGAGCACTTGTTGGTGGACCATTTTTTAACGACACATATCTCGATTTTAGGAACAAATCGATGCAGGGAGAACCTAGCACGTACAACAGTGCACTCATTGTTGGTCTTCTTTCTGGTTTAATTTGGTTACCACGTCATCAGTGGTTAGGTCTTTCCCATAAGGTATAGACTATCCTTTCATGATTTATAGTTCTTGTTACACATAGTTATATGGCTCTATATTCATCTATTCTCTCGGAATGTCAGACGCAGAAGGCCTTTATGTAGATGGCACATTAAATTATCGTCTTTCTACTTTGTAACGACATAAGATTCAGTGACTCCATCAAACTGCATTATAAGTTGAGCAACTAACATTTTTTTAAACAATAACCCTCAAATTGTTCTGATATTTAATTTGCAGGAGAAAAAGGCATATCAGTGGACTAAAATCTTAAGATGATGTGCTGACAAAGACGAAAACAAACGACATAACACTAAAGTTAAGAACAAAAAATTTGTAAGAAGAATGGGGATTTTCTTTGGTTAATGCTGTGTGCACATGCGCACTATCTATGACACTTTTTCTCATTGTGTATGTTCTTATCTGTAACACTTGCAGTTGAAACATCAACATGTTTGTGGATAGTGAGTGAGGGCCCCTCTACACCATCACTTCCCATTTCTGCACCTGATTTGTTGGAAGGTTGTATCAAACACGTGTCGAAGCCCTCGAATTATCTTCTCCAAACGTATGTAATTTAGATACGCATTCACATTTGTATTAAAAAAGCTCACGACTTAGATTCTTTGTGTTTTTATTTCACATCAAGTAAGCTAAATTGAACAAATATTAAAGGGATCCAATAATGGTGTCCATAATGGACACATGGAGACCCCTTATTGGGGGTGTCTGTGGGACCAGGCACCCCCCAATAGGGGGCCTCCATGTGTCAATTATAGCACCCTTATGTTATGGGCATTGTAAACCCAATATTAAAAGAGCACTTTGCACAGTGTGATCATTTCTTCTGTGCACAAGAAAGTACTCTTGCACTTAAAAAGTGACAAAACTTTGAGCACTTTGGCTTTGGACCTTTGTCTCTTTAATTGGAAGTGTACCGTTCACTCTCTGTTATCCTATTGAGTTCCCACATCTTTAGCATGTGGGTACAATGCATATGTGGAAGACCTAGATAGAGCTATCCCTGTTTAGATAAGATTAGTTATTATTCCAACTTCATTTACTCAAAGTTCATTGAATTGGACAAGAATTTAGGATAATAAATAACGAGCATATTTATTTCTCTTGATCTTATTTTGTCATATTCGATGGACCAAACATGTTATAGATGTATAATTTATTTTTGTGCAAAGAGGGAGATTTTTTATTTATTCTTTTTATTTATTATTTTTTTTTGGTGTGTGGGTTGACCCAAGTTCGACCTTGGAAGTTGGGGTCAGCTGGTTAGATAGGAGGGTCGAAGATTTGAAAATCTTGAGTTAACTCCAAACGAGGCATCTCTTTAATGAGTCCTAGTGCACTTGAAACCAAGCCCGATGCGTTAGCTGTTCTTCTTCTGTCCATCCATTAGCCTCGTGTTCTTCTAGTAATGATAGAGCTCAAAAAGAAAACGATGTAGTTCAATCAAATTGATAAAATAGTTGAGATACTTGACCAACTCGATCATGTTTTAATATAAGTTCAATCATTCCAAACAAGTTTCAAGTTGTTTGAGTATAAGTTCAACCAACTCAACAAAATAATCGAATTATATCTACTAGAAAAAAATAACGTTAACATTTATGAAATTTTAAAAGGTTAAATTGGTCTTTTAGAATGTAAATAGAAAACCTAAAAGAACAAGTTAAAAGATGGATGCTTAAAAGTTTACTATTTTAGAAATTTCTTGAAAGTTACAACCGCAAATATTCGGTCAAAATTTTATGTTTCTAATTTTCGAATTTTTTGAGAAATGTCAATCTATAAATTTAGTGATTGTTTGATAATTTTTTAGTTGGTCAAACTTTAGTTTTCACTAAAAAAATTTATGAAATTCATAATTTTCATCAACTTTTCAATCATAAATTAACTTTTATCAAAATATACTAAAACTTTTATTAAGGGTTTTTGTTAAACAACCCCTGAATCGGGTTTTCAATTTTCATCATTCCTCGTTGAATCCAATCTGAATTACACTACGTGTATGTGTCGGAGAAAGACAGAGAAACAATTACAAATGATAAATCTCACATCGATTAAATATCGAAATATAGACCAACATATAAAAGTTTGGACTATTTATCTTAATAATGTGACATTTTAATATAGAATCCCAAAGTTTCAATATTGTATCAAAGCAACTCCAACGAGTAATTTGATCCAATTAAAATTCAAAAATGAACATGTCGATTTCAAAATTAGTCTGCTGAAACGAGTCATCATCTTGCGAGAACATATTAAGAGCTAAATCTCACATCAGTTAAATACCGAATTACAGACCAACATATAATAATTTTGACTACTCTTTTATAATAAGATTGATCTTTTAAGATGAAACCTCGAAATCTTAATAATGTTGATGGCCGGTCTTTCAAATTATAAACAATTACAACGAATAAAGTTTCATTAAACTTAACTGAAATCGAGAACATTTTTATCTTTTGACACCCTGGAAGATAGTTCCATATCATACAACTTGACATCCTAATGCAATTATACATGAACAAAATTACAAACTTACTAACAAAACTAGAGAATTGCTACAATTACCGGGGGGATGAGGGGGGTTGTCAACCCCCCCGGTACAAACAGCATTTCCGAACAAAACTACTGTTCCTGTTGATCCAGATAAGAATTATGTACAATCAATCAAAAGGCAACACTTTTAACACAACTTTTATAACATGTTGCCTGTGTCGATTGATGAACTTCTTGTATGTATCTTGCCTAAATACTTGGAGGAATATAAACTCAGTCGAGGCTAACGAGCTATTTCTAGTTTTGCCGTGTAACCTAATTGTCGCTCCATCTCCCAACTCAGTTTCGACGCAACTCCATTATGTTTCGGAACATAATCCTGTTGGTACAGTGCATAAAACGATTTTCATCACTACAATGCTATCAAGTTGCTAGTCATGTCACTTGTGAAGATGGGGCAGGTGGAAAGTTTCTTGGATGATGATGATGTACCTCAAGTTTGGACATAAGTTCATGGGCAGTTGGGGCAGAGGCAATTATATGACGGGCAGAGGTTGTAACAAAACCCTCATCAACAGCTTTGTCTATAAAAGACAGCAGTGAGTTGTAGTACCCATCTACATTAAGCAGACCTACCTGTAAATCGTACAAACAAATAATCAAAAGACTTTCTATAATTATATATAAATGGTACACGTGAAGAAGCGAAGTCTTCGAGATGTTCGTCTATTGTCTTGTCTGATTTAACGTATTGCGATTGCGATGACATACTGGTTTGTCGTGAATTCCGAGTTGAGCCCAAGTGATGACTTCTAGGAGTTCTTCTAATGTACCGTAGCCACCTGGGAGTCAGTAAAGGTTTTATTTTATTTCTTTTTAATCTCAAATTATTTATTTTCGTATGCAATTTAATTAAAAATTAGATGATCATAGAATATGAAGCTCAATCAAGAAAAAGAAAATAATTACCAGGCAAGGCTATGAATGCATCAGCTTGCTTAGCCATTTCTGCCTTTCTTTGGTGCATACCAGACACTGCTCTCACTTCTCCAACAGGTTCTCCAGTGATCTAAATGGATTATTTTATTAATCATTTCTCCAAATAGAAAGTTATTCAACAAGAAAATCTTCGATCAACAAAAATTACAAAACGTTATTACGGTCAAGTAATTACCTTGGAAAATAAGTCATTCTACTCCCGAAGGATCGATATTAAAAAATTTCTATTATTGAGAACTAAGAGAGACATACTCGAATGACACGACAAATTCTATGAAATTTTTTACATCAAATCATGTGGTTCATATTCACATGAACCTGGCCACATCAATGTGCATTATTGATACTAATATTTTGAAAAAAAAAAAAAGTAAAAAATTCAGTTACCTCTCTGGGCATAAGAGTTCTTGGAATAACCCTGCAAAACAAATTAAAAGTGAAAAACATGCTTGAAAATTAATTAAATTTAGACAAAAATGAGTACCCTAACACGTGGCGGCCACCATTATGTACAGATTGGGAGATTAGGCCCATTAATCCAACACTTCCACCTCCATATACCAAGTCGATGTTCCTCTCAACCTGTCAATTAATTTTTAAAATAGTAAACATTTCTTGCATTAACACGCAATACTATTTCAACAAGAACAATGTATTAAAATTGAGATAATAAATTAAGAAACATTTCACGTTAATCTTGCTTAAATAAACAATAACCTTGTTTCTTGATTATGCTTATTTTTAACCTGATTATTTCATAGGAATTGTTCATTACAAAATTTCTAATTCTGTAGGTTTCTGCAAATAAATTTTAATATAACACAGATTGATTTATTTTTTTCCAAATTATTGCATGTAGAAAATAAAGAAAAATTAATTATTTAGTATTTTGAAATATCTCCTTCTGGATATTTTTTTTTATCCTTTGTTTATGCAAGTATGCTGTCAACCCACCGCAACCCTCCTCGTTTACCCCAGATTGGAACAAAAGACAGGTTTAAGAAAAACATGTCCGATGATTGAGAAACTGCACTTGTCAACCTACTGTAACCCTCCTCCTTAACCCGGGATTGGGACGAAAAATAGGTTTACCAAAAACATGCAAATAGGAAGAAGAAGAAGAAGAATAGAATACCAGTTGTTTTCCGAGCTGTATAGCTGCTATCTGAAAGCTGGGGTTCTTGCCGGGGCTGCTACCACAGAAAACACATATCCGCTTGAATCGGGATTGTCTTGTGGGCTGCTGGAGGCTGTTATCCATGACAAAGAAACTCTTGGTGCTGAGTGTGTTTTTGTGCTTAAAATGGGACTTTTTAGTGTGTGTCTGTGTGAGAATAAAGAGTGTTGGTCGGATTTTGAGTTGGGATATTGGGTGAGGCTGTGTATTGAGAAAGTCAGCAAGTTTTCGTCTTCTCTTCTTTAAAACAAACTAGATGAAAAGGTATGAGGGGATGCCACTTTGGTGTCATTGGTCCCCTTTTATATTCTTCTGGGAATGGATTTCCAATAGGATTTCAACACTTGGCAATTCTTTTTCTTTTTCTTTCTTATATTTGTTTCTTTTTTTGTTTTTAATTTTGGCACTTGGGTGTCATTTTCAATCTAAAGTAGCAGAACCAAAGTTGGACACTGCGTCACTCCATTTCTTTGGCTTTTTCTTTTTCGTTTTTAAGGATGTGACAACGAAGGAAGGGATGGGGCGTGTAAGATAATTGCAGTTCTACTGGAGTTACAATTTTCCTGGCAATTTTACTGACAGTGTG